TCTCCGCCGGGAACGGGCGGACACTTGGCCGGTGCATGCTGCGGCCCGTTTGCTCCTAGCCGCATAACTCGTTCGGCGAGAGGAGAGGAGGATAACGGAGGACGAGGGGAGGTAGCGGAGGGAGGGAGGGCGCGGTTTCGATGGCCGGCGAACGAGCGAAAATGCGCCGGCTGCGTTCGCCGCGTCGAACGCGGCGGGAGAGGCAAATGGGTTTCGTCGTGTCCCAGGGCGACGCGGCCGCGATTAATGACGAAGTGCGAAAGCACCGGTCGGGCCGGGTATTAACGGAGGCGGAATGACAGAAAACGGAACGCGCGAGATTGGGCTGAGGGGGATAATGGCGCGAGGGAGAGAGGCCCTAGAGGAGCGAATTAGATTCAATAAATAGATCGCCCGGCGAGATAAATGTCCTAATAACTGGGCTTCGGCTTGCACGTCCGATCGCGGGTACGAGACGATCATTAGCCTACGATCGGCGTGTGTAAATTCGAGACGCCGTCGCGGTTCAATTCACGCTCTCGCTCGTGTGTTCGCATGGCACGACGCATAAACACCTGTCACGAGCGCCCGATCGGCGCGCGCACACACGCGCGCGGTGTAACGCGTTGTGTAACGACACGCCGACCCACCGTGAGACCGTCGTGGACGCGTTTCACGCTCGCCTTCTCCGCTATTGTAGCTTCTTTCTCGCGTCGGCAGCTCTCGATCCGGCCGAGCCGACGACACGCTGTGGTCCATTAATCTCTCATCGATGGCACTGACACCGATCGTACCTACGAGCTATTCAACGCCTCTCGCAGCACGTGTATCAGTGTTTAGCGGGTTATCGTAACGTTCGGGCTAGTTCTCTCGTTCGAATAAATGCGCCGATTCGTTCCGGAGCGTGAGGAAGAAATTGATGGATACCGAGCATTTGCAGCATATCTTCGTCATTTTGTCGCGGAAGTTGTACTTGTTATTTAAACACGAAGGTACTTCCTTAAGAAAATAATTGATTGGTAACGAGAGGCACTTCAAAACTCTATACCACAGCAACATTATTAGCGAATTCGATTGCTTGCATTGGTGCTCACCGAGTGTACACTAAGGCATGTCTAGGGTCGATGCTTATATATTTAAAAATCGTCTTGAACTATTTCTTATCCAGAAAAATGATCCGTACAGCATCCGTACGGATCATTTTTTGGGCTAAATATGAATTTTTAAACATTCGAGACAAACCTAAATATACACGGAGAGAAGTTTCTCTTAAAATTTACCCTGAAAGTCGTGTAATCGTAGGACACTATGGCATTTTAGAAAACTCTCATAGAGTTCTTCAAAATTCCATGTTGTCCCACGATTTTCAGAGTAAATTTTAAGGGAAAATTCTCTCCTTGTAAGAATTTACTATAAACAAGCCTTGGTGTACATTCAGTGCGCACTAGCGCGAGCAACCGAATTCGTTATCAGATTCATGATTTTGAATGAAAGACTAAAGCCCGGTCTACAATGAGACAGACGTCGGTAGTAAGAAATCATAAACCGTAAGTTGGAAATCATAAAGAAAAACGTTAATCCACAATGAGTCATAAGTTACTATAATCTAGTCAATCACAGACGAGGAAATTTATAGGCAATTTGCCTCAACAAGCTTGATGAGTTCCAAGTCATCAATATTCTCGTTGGATACAGCGATTTCCATCGTTAAACAAGTTTGGTGAAACATCGTTTTGTTGAACAACACTTAAAAAGTACCTAGGATCAAGGATTATGTTCTGAAATGTTTCTTTGTAGAAAAATTTTACTTAAAAGATTATAATATCCTTACACGCATGTGCTATAAATTGTCAGTAAGTACAAATCTTTCTCACATAAATATTTCGGAATATAACCATAGCCCCGAAGCCAGATGTCTTGGGTGGCTTGGCGCTCGCGATAAAAATGATGGGCATATGATTGACTCCGAGTGGTCAATCATAAGCTACGTATAAGCTACGAGTCAGAGGGATTGGATTTTGGCAATCTTCTTATGATTGCCGCGTTCCGACTTGCGAGTATCTTATAACAGGCTTATGTCTTCCGACTACTGACTTCTGTCTCATTGTAGACCGGGCTTAAGAATGAGTAAACCATCGATTCAACGCTCATTACCGCAAATGTGAGAACGATTGGTGAAATTGTCGTAGCGCGGTCGATGCCCCCCGCGGCTTGCGGCAACGATAATAGGGTCCATTTCGAGAGTTGCGAATCAACGTTTCGAGAGTCATCAACGAACGAGTCTCGCGACTCACGCGGTGAAAACACCTTCGTGCGACGAGCGGTGACTCTGTCCATCTCTCTGCGCGAGCGGCAGCGATGTGATACACTAAGCGTCGTTATATTTACGGCGTGTTCGTCTAATTAGATAATGGCGCCGATATTTTATATTACGTGCGTTCACCCGACGTCGTTGCCCGTGCGCTCGCAACGCGGCCGGCTTGCAACTGCGACCTTCGCCGCCGCGCCGCAAATCGTTACGACCGTAACGCGCGGCTCGCGGTAAATCGACTCGGATGAGCGCGGCGCGGCGAGAAAACGCGTGTTAATAACACGTGCTCGCGCGTAATCAAGTTAGAGGATCGCGAGAAATTAGAGCCGCGGTGCGCGCTCGCTGCCGGCGGGGCGACGGAGCGACGTCCAGGCCGATCGCTTTAAACGCGCGTAGGTATGCCGTAATCGGAATATTCAACGATCGATTAATCATAATAAGAGACAGAGGAAAAGATGCGCTGTCCTTGACGCGCTGAATGCCGCTTTGTGTCTTACGTGACGTCGCACGCGTCGTTAATTCCCCGCGAAATTGAATACCTGGCGGGCAAGCGGTCTTGACGAGTTGCGCAATCGAGGAATAACGATCGTTCGGAGATTTACTGCGAGGAAAAATCTCCCCAGGCCACGGCGAGCGGAGAATTATCTATCATTCGGGTTAAATGTTACGTCCGGTGAGTCTCGCGGCCGCGGCTCCGACTTATTTCCCAAGAGAGGAGGCAGTGGGCTTTTATGTCGATGATCGCTCGCGGACGCCGTATCATTACTCTTCATACGGGACCCCGGCAACGTCTGACAGCGAAAGCTCCGTTACGGAGTAACGTCTATCCCGCTTAACTCGCGAGATCGACGAGCCTATCGTGCCTCGTACAGATTCGAGTCTAACAATAACATTCGTAACTGTCCATTGTCGTAGCGGCGAATGAATCAAACGCAGGAAGATGGTAGGAAACGCGGTAATTCTAGGAGTGCTGTGCGATATCACTTACTTCCCGAGTGGCATTTGTAATAAATCTACGTTCATAATTTATGTGGTTTCTACAATATTCGGTTCTTAGAAAAAAAAAGTATAAGTTAATAATGAATCAGCTTTTCTTTCTGATATTTTTAAGGATCTTAAACGTGCACGGAAAGACCGGCTACCGCAAAAATAATTAAAATTAAAATGTCGCCGTATAAATAGTAGGGGTATCTACATTGTTTTGCGTTGCAACATTCACTAAGTTTGCTGCACAAAATGCAGCACACGACAACCATAGATATAGCTGTCCCAAATATTACTATTCATTGGGATTGTGCCAATCCTAATTAGACATGCGGCAACCATATCGGTCTCTCCGTGTATCTTGCGTATAATCAAACTCAGAATTTTATTAATCTTCTACCAAGTAATTAAGAAAAGTATTGTCTACGTCTGTTGGGTTTTATATATGAAAAGATTACGCGTACTCTCTCTCTCTCTCTCTCTCTCTCATGTCAATAGTAAGAAACGTCGTGACGTTTAAGATGAAAGTACGAGCTAAGTTGATCCCGTTTACGTGTCAGGGCTCGAATCACGGGAATCGCGCGTGCGTTCGCGTGACAGATACTCCGAAATGCGCTTCCGCCGGGCGTGGGCGACGGTGTAATCCTAGTCGCGCTTTTCAGCTGGATGATAAGGCCAGCTAGGTGTACAGTTAGGCGTGACGCAATTGCAACGGCAGTCGGCGAGCCCGGGTTGGGGCTTGGGGCCCAATTACCGTCTTCTTCCGGTTCGCAGCGCGTACCGCCGCGCGTTCGCGGCGTTATTTGCGGATTACGGGCGCGCGAGAAAAATCGGGAAATTATTCGACGGTCGATCGCGGAAGCGAGATCGTCTCTCGTCGCGGGGACGATCTCTCCTCGGCCTAATCCGCGACAATCGCAATATATACGGCGTAAGCGGAACAGGAATCTTGTAACGCCCCGTGACTCCCCGTACGCCTCGCGCACGGTGGTCATCCTGATTAATGTCGCGTGAGTCTTATCTCTTTTCGGAGTAACGGGGATGATGTTAGAAATGCGATCGTTTACGGTCGCGCGATCGCCTAGATATATCACCGCGTGCTCTCCACTCGCGTTTAAGACTTGGAAAATCCCGGAAATAAGGCGTTCGAGGAACGAACGGGTTGAGTTTATGACGCACGTATATATAGATTTTTCTCCCCCTCTGCGATATTGACTTATCTCGTGATAGATAGATACGCATAACTCGGTTGAAAAGTAGTAAAGTTTAACGGGAAAATGAGCGGATGAATTCTGTTCAAACAAAATTTGATTTGCAATTTTTTTAAACAAACGATTACAATTTTATCTCCGGAAACTATGGTTTTTGGAAACTCGTTTCAAACATCGGAAAACCGCAGCAAATATTTAGACTCCTCTGTTTTATGCGTACATAATTTTTTTTCTCGTTAATGATTAACCGTTGCATCTTCTCGCACGAAAACTTCCGGTACACTGTATTTTTTCCTGATCGATAAGCTACGATGTATCCGCGCGATTCCATTGACCTCTCTTAACGCTCGATTCATTGGCCGAGAGAGTCGAGATGCCAAAATCAATCAATCACCAGCCATCATCGTCGACGTAACTACGAGCTTGGCCGACGCTTTAACCATGAGTTAGTTAACCTCGCGCGTACCAAGGCGGACCCGGCCGCGTAGATGAGAATAGAAAAAAAAACTTCCTACCTGATTGATGTCGCTGCCCAAATCCCGCGCGCTCTTGGCGCTCCTCAGCTGATATCCGCGGTACTCTCGATACCTCATGGTCACCTCGTCGTCGGTCAAGGCGCCGCTGCTGCCGCTCCTCGCGCTCTTCTTGCTCTTCTCCTCCTTCGCCTTCTTCTCCTTCTTGCTGAACAGCTGCTTGACTTTGCTCATGGTGCCGCTCTTCTTCGCCGCCTTCTTTTCGTACTTCTTATCGGCGGCGCCGGAAGGCGGCTTCGCGGTGACTAACGGCGGCTTTGACGACGAGTCGCTCGCGTACTTGTCGTACTTGCGTTGCTCGGACGTCGGCGTCAGGTTCATGTTGCGATCGGTGTGCCGTCGTTCGTGCTTGATAAACTGCCGGCTGACGAAACCTTCGTCCTCGGACTCGAGCTGCTCGCGCCTGTCCGCTTCCTGGGAGTCCCGTCTGTAATCGTTCTCGATCCCGGAATCGGCCAACCGATCCTTTCGATCTGGATCGCTCAGCCTGGTCTCGCGATGACGACGCTCGGTGTGCCCTCGCACCTCTTGTCTCGCGTGTCTCGATTTGCCCTCGTGATAGGTCCTAGGTGGTCTGGTCGGAGTCTCGGCGAACGTCTCCAAGCGACTGACCGAGGACACCTTCCCCCGCGGACTGTCGGAATCGTCGAAGTAGTCCAGCCGATTGCGCGATCGCCTCAACGGCTTCTTCGGATCGTCGTCCTTGCGGTGCTCCTTCCTTGAGGTGCGCGTCTCGTCGTAGCGGGTTTCGCAACGTATCGAGTCCCTGGCGGTGGTGTCCGAATCGTATCGACTGGAATTGTAACCGCCGCGATCGGTGCGTATCCTCGGCGGCGAGCTGTCGTAATCGTCGTGGATCGGGTGTTTGTTACCGCTCGTGTACCTCTGCGTGGTACGCGTCTCCTTGTAGTACTTGGACTCCAGCTGACTGCTGGTCATCTGCGAGATATCGGTGTCGTAGTCGTCGTTCGGGCCCTCGCGCAGACTGTCCAGATGACGCTTCGTGAACGGCGACCTCTCCCCGCGGCCGTTCATCGTCGGGCTGTCCAGCAACGTCGGGCGTCTCGTGTCTCGCGCGTTAACGTAACCCGCGTGGCTGCTTAGATTCTCGTGCGACCTCGTCGTGTACTCGCTCCTGAGCGCCCGCACTCTGGCGTTCTCTCCGACCTCGTCCAATCGCTGCGTCGACTTACTTATGCCGCGAATCGACTCGAAGGGCTTCTTCGTTTTCGGCAGATACGCGTCTCGGTTGGTCGGCCGGCTCTCGCGATCCAGGAAATCGTCGCTCTTCGAGAACTTGCGCTCGTTCAGTTTCTTGGCGATGATCGGCGACGACAGCTCGTCGTTCTCCCGCGACTCGCTGCGGAAATGATTTATCGCCGTAGAGGTCCCCTCGGACGGATAATGTGGGGACTTGTAAGAGCTGCCGCCGTTTCGGACGGCCTGAAATCTCTCCTCGGGGCTGCTTCGGCTTCGATCGCTGAGAAACGGCTTGAAATTGTCGGTGTAACCCTCGTGCGTTCGCGTTTCCACGATGTACTTATCGCCGTACTTGTCCGTTCTGGTTTCCACGGTGTAGCCCTCCTTCGGTTTCGCGTCCAGGTAGCCGTTCGTCGGGATTTTGTTAGTGATCTTCTTCTCGTAGCCGTACACCTTGCCGTTGTCCTCGTGTATCTCCTTCTCGAAGATGTACTTCTCCCCGTTGCTATTGGTGCGCGTCTCCGTGATGTAGGTGTCCATGTATCGTTTCGGCGACGCGATCCGATTCGGCGTGACCGGCGACGGTACTATCGGCTTGTCGATTATCTCATGCTCGCTCGACTTCTTCACCGGCACGTTCGCACTGTTCTTGGCGGCGAACATCTCGTCTGCCAGCAGCCTGGACTTGATCCTGGACTCCAGTAGATCTCGTCGGGCGCTCAATTCAGACGTTTTATGCGAGATTCCGCTCTCATTCTGCCTCGAGGCCAACTCGCCGCTGTCCCGTCGTCTGGCGTCCATGCCGTCGGCCCTCCCTCGACCGGAAGTGTCGACGAACACGGTCGAGGTATATTTTTCGGGTTTGTCGTACAGACGCCTGTCGATCTCGTCGAACTCGTGACGTCTCGTCGTCTCGGTGGTTCTAGAGACGAAGTCCTTCGCGCCGCCCAAGTGTTTGCCGAAGGGGCTGCCGTTCTTACGGGCTTCCTCGTATCTCGACTTGAAGGTATTGATCTCATTGTTGCGACACAGATCGTTGCTGTACGAGTAATCGGTTCTGCGGTACTCCTTCTCCGCGGGACTGTTCTCGCGGGAGGAGTCCTTCCTCTCGAGGCCGAGGCCCTCGTCGCTGTCGGAGTGGCTCCGCTGAGCCTTCTTCTTGTCCGGCTGCACCTGCGCGTAAATTACGTTGGTCTGCGCCGGCGGCGGCGGGCTGCAGGAATCGTTCGGTCTAGTGTAGGAGAACGGCCGGTTGTTGTTGTGACCGAATCCCGGCGACGGTGACACCATCGTCCTGGTCAATTGCGGCGGTGGCGAACGGTCGTTGGACAGTCGGTGAATCATTTTGTGAATGGTGGACTCTTCGTTGCGTTTCTGAAGGTCGTAACGACTACTGTGTAGCATGCCCGCCTCGTCGACCTCGTCTGCCCCGCGTTTCGATTCTTTCGGGGGCGAAGGGGTACGGCTGCTTCCCTCGGTCTTCCTCTTCTCTACGTCGTCTCTGCCCTCGACGAATATGTGATGCTCGATCACTCTGGCCTCTCGGCTGGGCGATCTATCAGCAGGCTCGTCGGTCCGCACCTCGATCGTCACCTCGTCGACATCGATAGCCGGGCTCGTACGCTCCTCTTGTTTTTTAGGCTTCTTCGGCTCCGGTCGATTATTGTTTTCGCGATCCGCGCTCGCGATGTCGAAGTGAAACGGCTGTTGATTGATATGCGGCGATGACTCGATTATCGGTGAGAGCTGCTTCTTCGCTCGCTGACTGACGGTACTCAGGTGCGAGCCCTCGCTCTCGCTGCCGCTCCGTTTGCGCTGCGCTCCGTTGCGCGTCCAGGTGCCCGCGTCGCTCGCGCTTCGGCCGACCGGCTTCCGGCGCCTCTCCAAGCTCGGCGAGAAGAATCGCGTGAGCGAGCCCTTCAGCTTCTTCGCGCTGGCATCGCTGGTGCTCCTCTCCAGTGACTTCTTCTTGGCCCGCGGTGTGTCCAGGTCCGCGTTCGCGGTCGTGGCGCCGATCTCCTCGCTACCACGGCGTGGTCTCGCATCGATCGGCAAATCGAGGCGTTTCTTGTTACGACGCGCCGGCAGGGTGCTGAAGCGACCGGGCAGACGTCGATTGTCGCGTGCCACGCAGCGAGTGCTGTCCGCCTGCTGCAGGACTAGGGCCGCCTCCTGTACGAGATCCTCCTTGCTCTTCGTGGCGATGTTCTCCCTGCGGACCGGGGTGGCGGTCAACCTACCTTCTCCATCGCCCACGAGAGCCGCGGTTGCGCGCGGTAAACCACGTCCTGCAATTACGAGCGCGTTGGTTTAGTCGCGCCTGATTTCGTCATATGCGCGATATAAAAATAATTGACTGACTAATAAAATGCGCTGTACTTTACTTGATAAGCAATAAGAAAATCTGTACAACCTGAATTTTAATTATTTCAAAATATTAATTGTGATTTTATATGAATAACTGTAACAGCGTGTATTATATAAGAGAGTTATAAAAATCATATTCGAAAAGCAAAGAAGATTCATGTTGAAATAAGCTATTAAATTGAAGTGTTTCTGAAGCAGATACATTAATCTTTTTCTGTAAATGCAAAATAACTTCGTGCCAAGATAATTAAATTCACTAACAGTATTTTTAACAGTTTCTGGAGAGAAGATAAGCTGGTTTCTTTTACATTTCCCCGACTTGGTACAAACTTATTGATAAAATAGGATTACGATTAAACTAGAAATAAATTAGCAGGATAGAAAAAGATGAATAATAGTCGCAACCAACCGAAAATTGGTGGCTTCGTAAATTAGTAGCAGGTCGTAATAGTAAATCTACCAAAACGATAAAGATTTCTTACGTTTCCGTCGGTTTACGTTTCTGGTGTAGTACTAATGATAATAATTGGGCATAGGAATTGCTGAATTTTAACCGCGAGACATTCCGAAATGCCATCAGGTCTCAGATTGACGGCTGATAAATTCGATCGGCTAATGAATTTATGTCGCGTAACCTTGCGCGGCGTTACAGTGTTTGTAAATCAGCGATTTATGTTAAGTGGACGAGCACGTGGTCGTTAGTGGTTAATCACCAAGTTTAATCAAGCGCCAGTGCACGCAGTACGGTAGACACGGTTGGCTCGCTAGAAGCTGAAAGCTAGAATCCGACGCGTAAGAAATTGCCGTCTTTCCGTCTCATCTTCCAAGCGCTACTTTGGCTAAATCGGGACCGCCATTAATCCGCCGCGTCGTCTGATTCGCGATCGATATAATGCTTGTAATTAACGCTGTCATATTTATAAATGGGTCGCTTAATCAATAGCTCGTTAACGACCCGGCTTCTCCGAGATTGTTACGTGCTAATTTCTTTTTCCTTTTTAAACGACAGTCCTGGGTGTAATATATGAAGAGAGGAACAGCATTACACACATACATACATATATAATGACTGAATAAAATTGGATGCTACATCGAATTAAAAGAAAGTATACCGAGTAGAAGTAACAATAAATATTCATAACTCAGACAATCAGAAAAGCGAACGGAATAAATCGAATCGGTAATAGAGATGTAAGGAGATATATAATTAAAAATCCAATTTATCAGACATCAACAAAAGCCTTCAATTTGTAATATTGAAAATCTCGGTGAAAGATCTAGAGAAATAAAAGTAAAAGGTAAGAACGTCATTTGTTGGCGTTATCTAGCGCGAATCTAATGTAAACGCGTATTCCGCGAAATCACGTTCTTCCGGTGTCTTCCAATTGAACTTGCCGATTTAAAGTTTCAGAGTCAAGCACATTGGCGTTAATTCAATAGCGAAGTGTCTCCATCGAGTTAAATGAAGAGCAAAGTGCCCTCATCGAGTTACACTCTCCAAGCTAGATTCGCTGCTTCGATTGCGTTGGATAACACTCGCCGGCGCTAATTAGGCATCTCCCACGAAATTTTCACCACCGATAAAATCAGCCTACACACATGACTTGCGCGATTCATTATTTTTATTCGCGAACGGTTTTATCTTACATAAGGAGAAAGTAGCGACCGTGGACGTCTTCCCACAGGCGAGCGGGCACGGATCTCGTCGCGCCTTACGCGGTAGGCGCTAATCGACGTTGGGCGGACGAAAATTGATTCATTATCGACTCTGTCGCACGCGTTGTCGTGCGCATAGGGTGCATTAATTCCTCGGCTGCGAATATATCTAACAAATCATACCGCCGCCTACATTCATTATCCTCGTGTCCGTTCATTCGTATCGGTAAAATAATAGACTCTGATGTGCATCGTAAGAAGTTAATCGACTGAAAGAGAAAGGTTCTCTGACGTGAAATGTTATAATTGTAGACGAGCGTAACATTAATTATTTGTGATAACTGTAAATACAGCCAAACATTCTTTTTTAACCCTTTTCTCAATAGCTCTCAAAAGAAAGGGAAGGCTCCGAAGTGAATCGAAATATTCAATGATTTTTTTTGAATACTCAAATAATTTGTTACAACTTGTCACGCATCAACAGTTGCGTATCAGTATGCAACAGTATACAGCTTCTAATTCGCACTTTTTTATTATTATGGAGGAAGTTAACTGTCTCGGTTCTACACGTAAACCTAGAGACTGGCGTATACGAGAATTAATTGCAATTAGGAGAAGAGAACACTCGTGTTTTGTGAGGAATAGATGCTACCCGGACGACGCTCACGGCGTTGGAATCGTTGACGGATTTACGGCATCACTGTCGCGATTTTAGTGTCCGGACGGACACCTGGATAGCGGGTGAAACCCCGACGCGAGGCATCTCGTCGAGGTCATCGACGAGAACCTCGAGAATGAGGTCGCCGGCTCGGCGGCGATTAGCGTCGCTCGCCTACCGAAGTCGAGTCTTCGTGCCGCTTCTTCTGGGACTCCGTGAAGAATACACGGCCGCGCGATTTCCAGAAAGTCGCGTTTCTCTCGCCTCTCCTTGTGGGAACTCGTCGCCAGCCGTCGTCGTTGCCGTCGTGTCGAACGCCGCCTCGAAAGCGCTTTTACAGCCTCGTTCGCTCGGTTTCCATAAACATGCGATTAGCGGCCGCTCGCGAACCTTTGTCTCCCAAAGGTTCGCCCCGTCTAACGGAGTTTGGTTGAGTTACGTCGCGCTTTCGGGGAAACGACATTTCCTCATCTCGAGGCGGATGGACTCGGAACGCGATTTCCTCCGTGGCCAGTTCGGTCCGCGCCGAGTCCGTATGTCCCTTCCGCGCCGCGCACTTCGGACGCTGTAAATCGTAAACTAAGACGACAAACTTCGCATCGTTTACGCGATTCAATGGCACAAACTACGGACGACTGTCATACGCGGGAATGTAATCTCCTGAGATATCGTTGGATTTAATTGCGCGCAAGCACGAGTGGAGCGAGCACGTCGCGCGGGATTACACTCGGGAGACTCGGGCGCAGGACGCGTTTCCAGCTCGCAGGTTTCCGTCGTGTAGAATCGTGCTCGCGCATAAGCGGACGTCTCTTCCGTAGATCGTGAGATTAATAAGGCAGCGCACGGCTAATACCGCGGAATGCGCGCGCCGCGAATCGAGTTGAAAACGATCGGAAGCGTGACGGGGTCCGGTGATTCTCCGATCCCGACGGAGGACCCGATTCGATCTTGCTTTCCTGAATACTAATTATTGCCGGGATACGCGCGAGGGAGAAATACTTTGTGGATGCATGTGCAAACTCACGTGCGTTTCTAACACGCGAGGGAAACGGAGAGGAAGAGAGAAACAGAGGGGGAAAGAAGAAAATACATTAACATGTGGCGCGCGTATCCCAAGCGAGAATTGATGCGTTTAGAGAACCGATCGTGAATGCGTGCGATTGATTAAACGAATGACGGCCTGCGATGCAGATAACTGTTCAGCAAGTAGCTTTTAAACGTTTTTCTCTCCTCGTAGAATTTATTGACTTAACTGTCTGTAATCCAACACGATTTTAATGCAACGTACCGTGTCTGTTCCTATCTGGGATATCTTGAAGAATCGCGCCACCATGAATTATTAGAGTTTATTTTTCCGCAGTCGAGAGATATTAGTATCAAATAAATTAGGAAAATGAAGATAAATCAACGTAGAGTTCTAAAATTTTTAGAAAGGGGTATTTTCCCACAATTTTAAATATACCCTCTTTTATCAGACTTGTTGTACGAATAAGAAAGAAATAATTTGCTCGTTGTAGATTCGCAATCTTTCTTCAGATGAGATTTTACAGAGGAAAAATTGCTAAAACATTGGATAAAGTATCTGTAAAAGTCATAGAGAATTTAATTCAATCGTGACGATGACCCCCGTATTACAAACAACCTGAGAAAATCTCCGTTGTATTGAATCCAAGTACTAACATGGGCATCTCTACGGTATTCAAATGAATTCAATTATAAACTCGCAAATTTGTCGTAATACCAACTTATTACCCACGATTATTCATACTTCCTTTTATGGTCGTCTGGTTATACTTGTGTTCAGAAAAGTAAGTCTATATCGGCGAGCAGAACACTCAAAGTGGTTAATGTCACCTCTGCAGCACCTCGTGACTGTTAACGAGATGTAATCATTGTGCTCGGCAGACTGATTGATATTCAGGCGCGTCGTAAAGTCGATTTAATTATCACGACATTAGCGTCGGGATCTCGCGCTACGGCCACCTTGCACGTATACGTTCGATGAATCCCTGATGGATAGCGTAGTTGGCGAACAAGGATGCGCATCATCTCGCGTGAGACGTATTATTACGTCGGGATCGCGATGCCAGTTATCGCATTCGTATTTATGAGCGCGAATACTGACCATCAGGTTACCAAATCGGAGGGATCTTAACTCTCCGAATTCCCCGAAATCCTCGAAACGCGACCGAATCCAGCTATTATCCGATTAATTTTCTTATTTTTGAAATGTGACCGGAGCTTCTTTCTCCTCTTCTCGGTAAACTATATACATTTTGATGGGCAAATATGAGTCGAAAACGCTATTCAATAGTCCGTACGTTAATTATGCCGCTTCTTCACGGGAAAAGAAAAACCGCACTTGAGAAAGTCACTTGGCGTTTTTCCTATCTGTCTTAATAAACGATTCAAAATAAATTATTCATGTCGCCAATTCGCGAACATTTTCTATCGAAAGAAACTCACTCGATGTACGGGGCATCGAAACAGGCCTCCGTGGCTTAGTTCCCTAGACTAGGCTCCGAGTGCTTGACATTCTCACGAATTGTTATCTTTCGAGGGTTTCTGGAGCACGTACTGTCGCCATTCTCTCGAGTAACAACATTC